GGGGCGGGGGCCGGGAGCGGCTCGCTGGGCTCCCTACCGTACTGGCAGCCCTCAGCACCATCTCCAGCTGCCCCCGGTGGAGCTGCACGTTGAGGAAGAGGCGGTTCAGGAGCCTGAGCAGAGCCCAGTTGCACAGCCTGTGGGAAAACAAGCAAGTGAGCAACCCCCAGGGGGGCCACGGCTGCCCCCAACCCCTCCCCCCCCTCCCTGAGGCCTTACCCAGGCCACCCTTCCCTGCCTCAGTTTCCCCATCCAGGCAACAAAGAGGGTTGCATGAGATGGCTCTACTCAAAATGTCACTTCTCCGCTCCCGTAAAGCAAATAAACAGCTTTATCATCAATTAAGTTAAAACATTAAAGGCTGGATGTGATGAGACCCCCCCCCCCCCTCCCCCCCAGACAAAAGCTGAAGCCGATTACCCCTCCACCTCCCCGTCCTCCCGCGCGCTGTTTACGGGAAGGATCCGAACACTTTTTGTCCCCTGGGTAATTTCTTCCCTTTAAATACTTCAGACTGCTCAGAGGGTTCTTTTATTACAGCTCCATCAGACGAGCAATTAGGCTACAATGCAGCCTTTAATTGCCAATTTCTCAATGACAGGAGGGAAAAAAAGAGAAGAGGGGAGAGAGGGAGCGAGAGAGAAAGTTCCCTTTTGCTTCGCTTCCATTTCCATCCTCCTGGTGCTTTTTGGGTTTGTTTCTCCCTTCTCCATTCCAGTGCCAGATTCCAGCTCCCTGGAAGGAACTGGGGGAAATATCCCCAGGGAGCTGCACGGGACCCTGGGGGCTGCCGGTCCTGCTGGCGTAGCCCTGGGCTCTCTGCACAGGGGTCCCCAAAAGGATCCACGTGCCTCCCCCAAAAGACCCCCATGCATCCCCCAAAAGGATCCATGTGCATCCCCCAAAAGACCCCCATGTGCATCCCCCAAAAGGACCCCCACACGTCCCCCATAGGATGGCTGTGGGAGCAAGGCACCGAGCCCACCGCCTAAAGCCCATCCAAAGGGGCTTAATGTACAAATTAAGAGCATGAGAAACCTCACATGGAGCGGAGGGAGAGGGACTGGGAATGCCCCAGCCAGGAACTGGGATCCCTCCAGAAGGAGGCGGGAGGTGCCCCAGCAGGGGGCTCTGCACCCACAACCCTCCCCGGTGAGGGGGCGCAGACCTCAGCATGAGAAGGGAGAGCGGGGCCTGGATTTCAGCCAGGATCTCGAGCGCTTTCTCCTTCCACCGCCAGTGGGATTCGTCATCCCCTCCGGAGCCAGGGGACAGGCCAGTAGCGACATCCTGTACCCTGCAAAGAGGGGATGGGGAGGAGGTTGGGAAGCAGGAGGCAGCGCGAGGCGTTAAAAAGCATTCGGTGTTACAGTAATTACAGTGTCCTAGCTGCTGGCCTCCTGCTGGGTAATTAGCGATGACGAGTTAGGTGACAGCTGCCTGACAAGGCCACCTCACCCCAGAGGCAGCGTGCTCCGCACTGGGAGAGACTGGGAGAGCCTGGGGGCCGTCCCGGGGAGCCATTCCCCACGGAACCGGGGCTCCGGCCCCTTTTGGGGGTGCTCAGCACGGAGGGAGCGGCTGCAAAGCCCCGTCCTTGGGGTGTGCCTGCAGGAAGGGCGCAGCAGCAAGCAGGGGCC